GACAACAAGGTGCAGGGCTGGATGAACACAGCAGGCCAAGCAGCATCATAGGAGCAGAGAGGCTGACGTTTCGGGCCTCGACCCTTCATCAGAAAAGGGGGAGGGGAAGGGGGTTTTGAAATAAATAGGGAGAGAGTGGGAGGCGGATAGAAGAGGGATAGAGGAGAGGATAGGTGGAGAGGAAACAAACAGGTCGAAGAGGCGGGGATGGAGCCAGTAAAGGTGAGTGTAGGTAGGGAGTTAGGAAGGGGATAGGTCAGTCCAGGGAGGACGGACAGGTCAAGGGGGCGGGATGAGGTTGGTCGGTAGGAGATGGAGGTGCGGCTTGAGGTGGGAGGAGGGGATAGGTGGGAGGAAGAACAGGTTAGCTAGAATAACATGATAGGTATAAGAGTTGCATGCTGAGGGTCTAACCAAAGTGATAAGTAATCCAAAACTGTCAAAACCAATTAAGGTAGAGAGATCATAACAATTTAACAAGGTGATGGTGTCAAAACAGAACAGCAAGTAAAGTTTTACATAAGACAGAAGTGCCGTGTAGCGCAACACGAACCCAAGATTGCAGGAGAATCTGTTTTCATGGGTACGGAACTTGGCTATCTGTTTCTGCTCACTGACTGTGCATTGTTGAATATCTTGTTTGCCTTGGAGGATGCTTACCAGAAGATCGGAGGCTGAATGTCCTTGACCGCTGAAGTGTTCCCCAACTGGGAGAGAATATTCCTGTCTGGTGATTGTTGCAGTGTCCATTCATCCATTGTTGTAGCATCTGCATGGGTTCACCAATGTACCATCCCTCGCCGCAGCCTTACCTGCAGCGTACGAGACAGACAACATTGGCTGAGTCACATGAGTATCTGCCGTGTACATGGTGGGTAGTGTTACCATACGTGATGGTGGTTTCCAAGAAGGGTCCTGACCCGAAACACCAACTTTCTTCCTCCAGCTCCGTACTGTGTTGTTTCTGACTCTGGCATCTACAGTTCATGCTATCTCTAGATAATCTGACACGTCTTGCAGAGGTTGCCACAGCACGGTTGTGTGGTGTTGTGGTTGATGTTGTCCTGAAGGCTGGGTAGTTTCGTGCTAGCGAAGGTCTGTTTAAAGTTTGGCGGTTGTTTGAAGGCAAGAAGTGGATGCGCAGGGAAGATGTTGATGAGATGCTCATCGTCATCGATGACATGTTGAAGGCTGCGAAGAACATGGAGTAGTTTCTCCGCTCCGGGGAAGTACTGGACAACTCACTTCACCTGACGAAGGAGCTGTGCTCCAAAAGCTTGTAATTTCAAATAAACCTGTTGGACTATAACCTGGACTATAACTTCCCCTCCACAGTGGTTGAAAACGCCCTCGACTGTGTCTCTCGCATTTCCCGCAACTCATCCCGCACACCCCCTCCACGCAATAACAACCAAAACAGAATCCCTCTCATCCTCACGTACCACCCCACCAACCTCCGGATCCAATGAATCATCCTCCAGCACTTCCGCCATCTGCAATCTGACCCCACCACTGAAGACATTTTTCCCTCCCCACCCTTATCTGCTTTCAGGAGGGACCACTCTCTCCATGACTCCCTTATCCGCTCCACACACCCCACCAGCCCACCACCCCCAGCACTTTTCTCTGCAAATGCAGGAAGTGCTACACCTGCCCCTAAACCTGCCCCCTCACCTCCATCCCAAGCCCCAAGAAGACCTTCCAATCAAACAGATGTTCACCTGCACATTTGCCAATGTGGTATACTGCATCCGCTGTACCTGGTGTGGCTTCCTCTACATCGGGGAAACCAAACGGAGACTCGGGGACCGCTTTGCAGAACACCTACGCTCGGTTCGCAATAAACAACTGCATCTCCCAGTCGCGAACCATTTCAACTCCCCCTCCCATTCCTCAGACGACATGTCCATCCTGGGCCTCCTGCAATGCCACAACGATGCCACCCGAAGGTTGCAGGAACAGCAACTCATATTCCGCTTGGGAACCCTGCAGCCCAATGGTATCAATGTGGATTTCACAAGTTTCAAAATCTCCCCTCCCCCTACCGCATCCCAAAACCAGTCCAGCTCGTCCCTGCCTCCCTAACCTGTTCTTCCTCCCACCTATCCCCTCCTCCCACCTCAAGCCGCACCTCCATCTCCTACCGACCAACCTCATCCCGCCCCCTTGACCTGTCCGTCCTCCCTGGACTGACCTATCCCCTCCCTACCTCCCCACCTACACTCACCTTTACTGGCTCCATCCCCGCCTCTTTGACCTGTCTGTCTCGTCTCCACCTATCTTCAGAAGAAGGGTCTAGGCCCGAAACGTCGGCCTGCTGTGTTCATCCAGCTCTACACCTTGTTATCTTGGACTATAACCTGGTGTTGTGTGACTTCTGGCTCTGACCACCCCAGTCCAACGCAAGTCCCTCCAAACTATTTACTCACGATATTTCTCCGAACAGCCTCATTGCCCCTGACCCAACCAGCTCCCTGCCTCCTACAGGTCATCCCAGCCTGAGGCGGCGCTGTAGGACATTCCCAATCACGTTCTTCTCCTGGTGCTTGCGGGAGCGGGACGGCAGCACCGTCTCCATGGCACCTTGACGTGAGGCGCGCGTCCCTGTGCCTGCTAAGAGGGGCAACTGGGTCGCCTGTAATTGGCTAGAAGAGCAGTCATTCACGGTCTGGGGCGGGGAAAGGGTGTGAGCAGGGTCCGCCTGTAAATGGCTACAATTCCCGTCAGTCAGGGGGCAGGGGGGGCGGTTCTGATTTGTCTTCTGGTTCGTAGTTGGGCGCTGCGGTGGGCGGGCGTCGGATTTGACCCATGATTGGCTAACTATGCCGTCAATCAGAAGCCGGGCACCCGTCAGGTGCTCTGACCGGGTGACGAGCCCGGGGCAACGGTTCACCTTCGATTGGCTAGAGGCGCCGAGCGTCCGCGCCGTCTTTGTTGGGGCGGGTCCGGAGCTGCGTCGAGGCCGGGATTGGTTGCGGGGTGACGCGGTTAGACCAATGAACCATCAACGATCGGCCGGGGTCGTCAGTCAGGGTGGTCGGGGTCCGTGGTTGGCGAAGGGTGTTCGCGCGGGGACGGGAGCCACCTGTGATTGGCTGCGGGGGGCGGAGACGTTCAGGTGTTGCCAAATTTTGTAGCAACATTTTGTTGTGAGTTGCTGGCGGGAGCAAGATGCATGCGAGGCTTCCCAGTTTGACCCTGCCCAGGAAGGCAGATAGCGAGGTAACACTTATTACACCTTTAATATCCCCCCCCCACCCTTTCCACAGCATGCGTTGCGTTCTTCTGTTTGCTTTAAAACAATCAGAAACTTTTGAAACGAGTGAGACGAATGCCTTAAAATGAAACCAGCAAAGGACAGAAATTGCTGCAGAAACTCGGCGGGCCTGCCTGCTGAAAGGCAGAATAGCGTAGTGAAGCGTTTCGTTTGCAGTTGTAAAGAGGGATCCACTGGACCCGGAGCCGCTTTCCTCTCCGCAGATGTTGCCGGACCTGCTGAGTTTCTCCGGTAATTTAAAAATGAACGCGGGTTATCTAACGCTTGAGGGGTCCGACAGGGAGAGTGAGCAAGGGAGGGAGGGATTGACGGAAGGCTGCCACGGCACGGTGCTGAGGGCCGGTTGAGGTGGGAGTCTGCAAACTGGAGCCCTTTCGGTCCCGTTTCCGAGGTTTTCCGCTCGGCTGCTGTCGGTACATTGGCCCCGAAGCCAGCCCGACCTTTGCACCCGGGGGCCCTGCTGAGTGCGATAGTGACCGACCGCGCAGTCAGCAAGGCCGACCCCCTCCGTCTACATCGCCCTGCCTTCCCACACTGACAGCTGCGATCTTGTGTGTCATTCCTTTTAACAAAACCAAACGCCCTTTCTGTTTGCAGTCGGTCCCGTTGATCGTCGTGTGGGTTGCTCAGCGATTCTGTTCTTTACTGTTGAACATGGTTGGGCCTCAACTGTTGGCAATTTATAATCAATGACTTTGACAATGAGTGTTTACGTTGCTAAATGGGCTGATGACACGAAGATGAGCGGGATGACAAGTTGTCCACAGGACACACGGAACCTGCCAAGGTACTTCCAGACGTTCAGGGGTTAAGAAATGGGGGAGGGGGACACAATTAAGGCCACAATCCCAGTGATCTCCTCCTCCTCCTCCTCCTGGTGAACATTGCCCCATTAGCTCAGGCCTCACTTCCCCCAGTAGTTGTTTCAGTGCCCCACAAACCAGAACCCACCTCTCTCTCTCTCACTCCTGTCTCTTGACTCTGGAGGTTGGTTAGCTCAGTTGGATGGCTTCAGAGATAGTAGGAACTGCAGATGCTGGAGAATCTGAGACAACAAGGCATAGAGCTAGATGAACACAGCAGGCCAAGCAGGAAGGCTGATGTTTCGGGCCTAGACCCTTCATCAGAAATGGGGGAGGGGGAGGGGAAGGGGGTTCTGAAATAAATAGGGAGAGAGTGGGAGGTGGATAGAAGAGGGATAGAGGAGAGGATAGGTGGAGAGGAACCAAACGGGTCGAAGAGGCGGGGATGGAGCCAGTAAAGGTGAGTGTAGGTGGGGAGTTAGGGAGGGGATAGGTCAGTCCAGGGAGAACGGACAGGTCAAGGGGGCAGGATGAGGTTAGAAGGTAGGAGATGGGGGTGCGGCTTGAGGTGGGAGGAGGGGATAGGTGGGAGGAAGAACAGGTTAGGGAGGCAGGGACGAGCTTGGCTGGTTTTGGGATGCAGTAGGGGGAGGGGAGATTTTGAAACTTGTGAAATCCACATTGATACCACTGGGCTGTAGGGTTCCCAAGCGGAATATGAGTTGCTGTTCCTGCAACCTTCGGGTGGCATCGTTGTGGCACTGCAGGAGGCCCAGGATGGACATGTCGTCTGAGGAATGGGAGGGGGAGTTGAAATGGTTCGCAACTGGGAGGTGCATTTGTTTATTGCGAACCAAGCGTAGGTGTTCTGCAAAGCGGTCCCCGAGCCTCCGCTTGGTTTCCCCGATGTAGAGGAGGCCAGCTTGTCCCTGCCTCCCTAACCTGTCCTTCCTCCCACCTATCCCCTCCTCCCACCTCAAGCCCCACCCCCATCTCCTACCTACTTACCTCATCCCGCCCCCTTGACCTGTCCGTCCTCCCTGGACTGACCTATCTCCTCCCTACCTCCCCACCTACACTCACCTTTACTGGCTCCATCCCCGCCTCTTCGACCTGTCTGTCTCCTCTCCACCTATCTTCTTCTCTATCCATCTTCTGTCCGCCTCCCCCTCTCTCCCTATTTATTTCAAAACCCCCTTCCCCTCCCCCATTTCTGAAGAAGGGTCCAGACCCGAAACGTCAGCTTTCCTGCTCCTCTTATGCTGCTTGGCCTGCTGTGTTCATCCAGCTCTACACCTTGTTATCTTAGTTGGATGACTGGCTGCTTTGTGATGCAGAGCCAAGGCAAGCATTCGCCTCGCACGCCAGCTGATGTTACCCCGAAGGACTGTCCTCCTCGACCCCTCTCCTTGCCTGAGGCATAGTGACCCTCACTTTAAAATCCAACAGGTGTGCTTTTTTTATTCGTTCACAGGATGAGGGCATCACTGGCTAGGCAGCATTTATTGCCCATCCCTAATTGCCCAGAGGACGGTTAAGAGTCAACCACATTGGGTCTGGAGTCATATGTAGGCTATCATTAGACTCTTAATTCCAAATGTTTATTGAATTCAAATTCCACCATCTGCCTTGGCAGGATTTGAGCCCAGGTTCCCAGAACATTTTCTGGGTCTCTGGATTAACAGTCCAGCGATAATACCACTAGGCCATTGCCTCCCCTGAGTTGTGTGTCTTATTAGAGAGCAGCCTGACGGTCTGGTAAGACTACCATGACTTTACCTTTTTACATCTGTCAGAAGTCACACCACACCTGGTTATAGTCCAACAGGTTTACTTGAAATCACAAATTTTCAGAGCGATGCTCCTTTGTCAGGTGAAGTTCACCTATGACTGGGTGTGGTGTGAGTTCTGACTTTGTCCACCTCAGTCCAACACCGGCACCTCCACGTCATTTACAGCTCACCAATTTGGACGTGACTTAGGCGATTATTACCTCTGAGATCTGCTTTTTAATTTAGTTTTTAATCTGCTCATACTCCTGAAAGAGAACCTCTTCACTAGTCTTGCCTATGTAGCTGGTATCTAAATGGACTGTGATAACTAAGCCTACCCTTGTTTCCTCCAATTTTTCCTGTCACCACACCAACCTATGAGGAGTCAGAAATCAGTGGATCTGTATGTTGATGAGTGTTTGTGAACCCTATAAGTGACTATGTGGTTCAGAGGGGATGTTAATCCGCCCCTTCCATTCAAAGTTCCACTGCAGCACTGAGGAGCAAACCTGAACCCTGGCACAGGGCAGGGAACACAGCCTTCTGGATTGTTGCTCTTGGCTCCTCTGATGCTGCTTGACCTGCTGTGTTCCTCCAGCTCCACACTCTATTGATGATGCAGGACTTGTACACAGTCCTGAAATTGCACGTGCAGCAAGGTTATGACAGGCTTGTATGAGAGAGGAAATGGTAAATAAAAACATCCCCTCAGCTGATTTGTGCAAGGATTGAGGCATAGGTTTTAAGATTTGGAAAGAGATACAAGAGGGATTTGAGGATGAACGTTTTTACGCAGTCACTTATTGATCTAGAACTCGGTGCCAATGAGGGCTGGTGAGGAGGATGCAAGCAGGCTTCAAGGTGATTCAGTCAAGTTGAGTAAGTGGGCAGACACATGGTAGACACAGTACAGCATGCTAAAATGTCAATTCATACACTTCAATGTGGAAAAAAAAAGCAGAAAGCTGGTGTATCTATTTAAATGATATTGAGAACATAGAACATAAGAACTAGGAGCAGGAGTAGGCCGTCTGGCCCTTCGAGCCTGCTCCGCCATTCAATAAGATCATGGCTGATCCTTTCGTGGACTCAGATCCACTTACCTGCGTTCTCACCGTATCCCTTAATTCCTTTATTGTCCAAAAAAAATCTACTTTTGTTTTAAAAAGCATTTATTGAAGTAGCATCAACTACTTCACTGGGCAAGGAGTTCCATAGATTAACAACCCTCTGGGTGAAGAAATTCCTTCTCAGTTCAGTCCTAAATCTGCTCCCTCTAATCTTGAGGCTATGCCCTCTTGTCCTAGCTTCACCTGCCAGTGGAAACATCCTCTCTACATCTATCTTATCTATTTCCTTCATAATTTTATATGTTTCTATAAGATCCCCCCTCAATCTTCTGAATTTCAATGAATATAATCCCAATCTACTCAGTCTCTCCTCATAAGCCAACCCCCTCAACTCCGGAATCAACCTAGTGAACCTCCTTTGCACCCCCTCCAGTGCCAATACATCCTTTCTCAAGTAAGGAGACCAAAACTGCACACAGTACTCCAGGTGTGGCCTCACCAGCACCTTGTACAGCTGCAACATAATCTCTCTGCTTTTTATTTCAATCCCTTTAGCAATGAAGAACAAAATTCCATTTGCCTTCCTAATTTGAACACTAAAATAAATTTAAATTATAAAGTTAGCCTCTGTAACATTGACCATGACTGGTTTTACAACAATCAACAATACATTCTAGTTCATGAACACTCTTTGGGAAGGAAATTTAATCTGGGTTTGGCCTACATGTGACTCCAGACACAGTGATTGATCTTTAACTGACCTGAGAAATGGCCAATTAAACCACTCACTTCAAGGGAAATTATAACGAGCAACTAATGCTTACCTTGCCAACAATGCCCACAAAAGAATAATGTACAACAGGTAATGAGAACAGACCATGGGCACCCGCATGGGCCAAGCTATGCATGCCTCTTTGTAGGGTATGTGGAACAGTCCCTTTTCCGCTGTTACATTGGCATTATCCCCCACCTCTTTCTCTGCTACATTGATGACTGTATCAGCACTGCCTTGTGCTTCCATGAGGAGGTTGAACAGTTCATCGATTTCACTAACACCTTTCATCCCAGCCTCACATTCACCTGGACCATCTCCGATACCTCTGTCTCCATTTCTGGTGACTGCCTCGAAACTGGCGTCTATTTCAAGCCCACCGACTCCCATAGCTACCTGGACTACACCTCTTCTCACCCACCTTCCTGCAAGAATGTGATCCCATACTCCCAATTCCTCCACTTCTGCCGTGTCCGCTCCCAAGATGGGGCGTTCCACTCCTGCACATCCCAGATGTCCTCCTATTTCAACGACCGTAACATCTCTCCTCTCCAGTGATCAAAAATGCCCTCGACCGCATCTCTTGCATTTCCTGCACCTCTGTCCTCACACCCCCTCCCCCCCCCAACAAAAACAAAGACAGAATCCCCTTGTTTTCACATGTCACCCCAACAACCTTCACATCCAGCATATCATTCTCCGCCACTTCCACCACCGAAAATCCGACCCCACAACCAAAGATATATTTCCCTCCTCATCCCTATCTGCCTTTCGTAGGGATCGCTCTCTCTGCGACTCCCTCATTCGCTCCACACTCCCCACTAGCCTCACCACCCCTGGCACCTTTCCCTGCAACCGCAGGAAGTGCTACACCTGCCCCTATATCTACCCCCTCACCTCCCCACCGTCCCAGGCCCCAAAAAACCTTCCACATTAAACAGATGTTCACCTGCACATCCGTCATCGTGGTCTATTGCATCCGCTGGTCCCAATGTGGCCTCCTCTACATCGGTGAGACCAAGCAGAGCCTTGGAGACCGCTTTATAGAGCGTCTGTGTTCAGTTCATGACAAACAACATCACCTTCCAGTTGCGGACCACTTCAACTCCCCCTCCCACTCCCTGGTGACATGTCCATCCAGGGCCGCCTCCAGTGTCACAATGACGCCACCCGGAAACTGGAGGAGCAACACCTCATATTCCGCCTCGGGAGCCTACAGCCGATGGCCTAAACGTAGAATCCACCATCTTTAAAATCTCCCCATCCCCGGCCTCATCCCATGTCCAACCCTCCCTCACATCCCCGCCTCCTTAACCTGACAAAATCTGTTCATCTTCTCTCCCAGAGATAGTAGGAACTGCTGATGCTGGAGCAGAGGTAGTTAGGGAGGTAATCACTGATGCAGTGAAGAATGTCATTACTCACACCTGGAGATAGCAAGAACTGCCGATGCTGGAGGAGCACAGCCGGTCGGGCAGCATCAGAGCAGAAAAGTTGACGTTTCGGGTCAGGATCCTTCAGAAATGGGGGAGGGGGAAGGGAGCTCAGAAGTAAATAGAGAGGAGGGGTGGGGCTGGGGCTGGAGAAGGTAGGCAGGATGGTGATAGGTGAGTGCAAGTAGGCAGTGGCGGGGATTGGTTAGTGATGTGGGAGGAGCGGATAGCTGGGAGGGAAGATGAGAAGGGTCCAGACCCGAAACGTCAGCCTTCCTGCTCCTCTGATGCTGCTTGGCCTGCTGTGTTCATCCAGCTCTACACCTTGTTATATCAGATTCTCCAGCATCGGCAGTTCCTACTATCTCTCTCCAGCAGAACAGTCAACTGTGCAGATTCACCAATGAGGCAGGCAGCAGTGCAGGTTTCTTTCTCCATTTGATTCATTTCCCATGTGGTCTTTGCCTTTTTCTGTCTTTCTCCTTTTTAAAATGCTGTTGTTTGGATTTTGACCCCCTAAATTTCCAAAATGATGCAGCAGCTTATAAAACAGTAATTACTGCTCTTCAAATTTAAGGAAATCAGCTCCAACACTGAAAAGTGCCTCAAAAAAGGAGCAGCTCTTGCAGCTGCAATTTTTCCCAGCCCTTCATCTTGGATTACCCAGGCTGATTCCCAATGGCACAAAAAATGTTGGTCTAGCTAGTGGTGCCTGTATCGCCTGTATCACCTGAAAGTAATCTTCTTTAAAAAAAAAATCAAATCTATATCACCTATTGCAAAACACTTGGAAGGTGCAGGCTCTGCTTGTTACACTTAAGGAAGAGATTGAGGAAAGGAACTAAAGGAATTTCTTCAATGGGTGCGCAAATGATTTTGTCCAAAGACTATGAAAAGCATCTTATAATGAAGGAATGTTTCAATGGGTTTTTGTTGGGTAGCTAACAGCAGATTATACCTCGGTTCCTAACATCGCCAGGGCACTGCCAGAGGCTGTGAAAAGACTTTGAAAAGATTTGATCAAACATGACCATTCTCCCAAAGATGTGAAAGCTCTTTGAAAGCATTGTGCAATCAGTTTGGCAGCACACACCCCCTGCATCCACCTTTCCCAAAAGCCTTGTAAAAGGTTCTTTCATGATTTTTGACAGGGGAAACAATCTACCTGACCCTTTCAAGCCATGCACTCCAAATTACAACTTGCTGTGGAAAGAACTGTTCAACTCTGCCAAATTTGTCCCAACAAGTCCACACCATCCCTCCGAAGAGCATCCCACCCAGACCCATCCCCCCAACTCTATCCCTGTAACCCTGCATTTTCCATGACTAATGCAGCTAACCTGCATATCCCTGGACAGTAGGGGTGGTTTAGCACAGACAATCCACCTAGTCTGCACATCTTTGGACGGTGCGAGGAAACCGGAGCACCCGGAGGAAACCCACGCAGACACTGGGAGAATGTGCAAACTCCACACAGACAGTCGCCCAAGGGTGGGATCGAACCCGGGTCCCTGGTGCTGTGAGGTAGCAGTGCTAACCACTGAGCCACTATGCCACCCTTCTACCGAACCTACGAAAACCTGAATTTTGAGAAGTAGGGCGTAGGGAAGAGTGAGAAACAGTATAATTGATTTAGCCTTAAAAAAAGAAATTTTGAGGCACACGACCTAGGTACAATGGGAGACTCTTGCTGCCTACTTAAGTAATTAGTCAGATCGTGTTTGACTAATGTTTCAGCTTGATTTTCCCACCTTTGCTCCATATCCCTCGATACCTTTGTGGTGCGGTGATAAGTTCGCTGAAGGAATCTGAGTTGCTATAGTAACACATAGTATATGTCACACTTTGGAACTATGGGCAGTATTGGTAGAGTCTCCAATGGTCTTTTAGTCACATAGCTGACCAGGAATCTCTCCTACAAGCAACAATGTGATAATTACCACACAGTCTGTCTTTCCGTTGCTGACTAAGGGATAAATATTGACCAGGACAACTGGGTAGCTGTCCTGCACTCTCTGGAAATAGTGAGGACAGTTGTGTCAATCTGAGAAGGAGCTGGGAAGCTGTTGTCACAACCTGCCTGAACAGTTGCTGACAGGAGTGCTATCTTTTGTGTTGAGCTTTAATGGTGGTCTGCCCCAACCCCACTTTTCCCATTGGCCCTGTTATTTCTATAGTGCAGTTTTCTATAACACGATGTAGCGCTAGAATGCAACTGTCACATTAGAGTAGAACCCCCTGTACACCTATTCTGAGAATTCAGAAATAACCCGTTCGTTGACTGCGACTACTTCGATCTCCTTGCATGAGACTGTTTACCCTGTTTCCAGAATTCATCAGCCAGAGGAATCTCCTCTACGTCCAGCCCTGTAAGAATTTGGAAGTTTCAATGAGATCTCAGTCTTCGAAAGCACAAACCCAATAAATTCAGTCTGTCCCCATAAGGCAGTTTTGCCATCCCATTTTTAGTGTTGCCTGGCTAACATGCAAGTAGCAGTCTGCTGTAAGAGGTTTTCATCCCCCCTCCCCACGGTTCTAGCATTTTATACATGTAGAGTTTGATTTTCAACTGCTAGTAAATGATTTGAAATTCTTTGTCTGAAGTTGTGAGGATTTGGAATGTTCTACCTGAAAAGTTAGAGGAACCTGATTTCGAGTCATAGAATCATACAGACTGGAAACAGACCCTTCAATCTAACCCATCTGTGTCGAACAGACATCTTAATCTGTCCTAGTTCCATTTGCCAGCATTTGGCCCATATCCCTCTTAAACCCTTCTTTTGATATATGCACCCAGATGCATTTTAAATGTTGTAATTTTAATAGCTTTGAGAGTTGGACAGGTGCTCAAGGATAAGAAACTTTGTGTTAAAGACCAAGTACAGTCATGTGGATGCAAGTGTGTCAGCTTCCTCGTAGACCCAAGAGCAGCAATGCCAAATTTCAAATGAGAGAATCCACTTACCAACCAAGCAACATACTTTGACGTGATAATTTGAAATTTTTGTTTTCTTGCAGTTAGCCATGTCTCAATCAATCCAGGTATATTTATTAATCAGTCAGCGCAGTCATCTCAGTCAGGATATATTGTTGTTCCCTCTGAGACTTGGCATTCTTGTATGTCCTGACGAGTACAGGACAAAAGGCTTCAGTGACGGGTTACTCTCTTTGCAGCAGTAGCAGCGCTCAAAGGTCCAAGTGACGTGATTTGAGAGGAGAAACAAGGTGGAGATGGTGGGAACATTGGGAAAAACAAATACGCCGACACATTGATGTTCCAGTATTGCAATATTTCTAATTATCGCTGCACTGTTTTCTCGTAGGTACTTATGCCTCCAGTTGCTGCAGATGAAGTTCTGTACAACAACAGTCTTATCCAGCAGCTGACTGTGGCAGCAAAGGATGCAGCTCTTCTCCATGGAGTTCTCATGAGGACGAAAGAGGAACCATCTAGCACTGAGGTTGGTTCTTCTGAATATCTTTTTAAAAAGATCTTTAAAATGCTGTACTTCCTCCTAATATTACACAATCCAGAAGCAAGACTATTAGCCTCAAACATCAGCTTTTATTTGTCTTGTTGGCTCACTCCCCACCCCTGCCACCTCCTGCCTCTCAAATCCCAGTTTGCTTGTGAGAAAGAACCTGCATCTATGTAGCGCCTTTCACAAACCCAAGAAGTCCCAAAGCATTTTCCGTACCGTGATCTTTTTTGTTTGATGTTGTAGTACTGTAACCTAAGAGGTTTGGCAGTCAGCTTGTGAACAATGACCAGATGAGCTGTATTTTTAGACATTTTGGTTGATTGCCCACAGTGGTTATGTCATTCAGTTATGCAAATAAATGTAAAACTCAGTAAACATGGCTTCCAGTGTTATCCTTCACCACCTGACTTTCTGGCTTAAAATGGTGTGCTTGGCTGTGTCCCAGTTCGAGGATGATGTCTATTCGAGGTCACTCTTTTCTGCCATTGGTTTCCGTGTGACAGAACAGGCCAAGTCTTGACCCACAGATCCATGAGCATGTGGGGTTGTGTGACCCACTTGGTGGCTGGATCTGGAGTGTAGGCTTTGCTTCCTCTGCAGTCTTCACTGTTGCTGTGTTGGCCTAAATTTGAAATTCTGTCATGTTGCTGGCAGTGGGAAAAGCATGACATGCAAAACAAAACCCACTTGTTTAGGTGCGTTATGACACAGACTTCCTATGGCCATCGCATCCTGAGATTGGAGTGGACCCTGGACTTTCTAGGCCAGAAGTAGGGACACTAAGCCCCTATCTGTGCTGACAACTTCACAGCAGTCTGATTATTATCACTGGATTAGTGACACTCTGCTTCCTGATTGATTAGAAGAGAATTTTCCTTGCACTAATGCCCTTCGTTCATGGGAGGTGTTCAATTTTTAGCCACCAGGTCTTGAACGGTAAAGGCTAAAAACACAAATTAACTGTCACACACATATGTAAAGGGAAAGAGAGCTGATGAACATGTTGATGTTAGATATGTTTTAAAAGTCGTCTTTTTACCCGAAACACACAATTAGAGGTTGTTTCACTTTTACCCTGTATTCCACAAGTCATCCTTAACCCTGATGTACCACTAAAAGTTGATCCACATACTCTCAAGTACTTTAATTTTTGAAATTTCATACCAATGTTCAGATTCTGGTGTGACCTATCCCTATTTTTCTTCTTTTCCAGCTTCAGGCCGCTAAGAACTCCGCAATCTCCCAGTTCTGACTCTTCTTGCAACCCGCCCCAAACATTTCCTTTGTTCCGTGACTGGTAGCTGTCTCTTCGGCTATGTAGCTCTGGAATTGCCTCCTGAAATCTCTCTGCTGCCCTGTCTCTCATCGTATAGATGTTTGCTCCTTAAAACTGATCACTGTTTGGCTAGGACCTGATCAGTTGATCCAAATATCTCTTCCTCTGGCTTTGCGATGTTTGTTCTGTGCTATGCGCTGTGGGATGCTTTGATACATTTTAAGACGCAATGTAAATGCACGTAAACAGACCTTCCGTTAGAATGAAGTCAGCACTCAGGATGCCTTTTCCTGTCACAGGCATTAATGGAACAGCTTTGTTGTTCTCTTATTTTTTTTTTTCTGATTCCCAGCATTTGTAGTGTCTTTTTTTTGTCTTTTTATTTGTCAATTTCTGATGTGTGTCAGACACCAAAATTATTTGATCCACAATGTTTTTCTCTCTTTCTCAAAAGACAGCTAGCTATGCACCATTTAGTCTCTTCCCATCACCTGTACCGAAGAAACTGTTCACGCAGGCATGTGAGGTTCAACAAGACTTTAATTTGCTGGTTGACCGAATAAGCCAGGACTCTGAATTTCTAACCAAAGCGCTAGCAAGGTAAGGTAATTGTACTGTCTTGTATCAAGCTGTACTTATTAGTCTTGTAAGTCTGATTTCTGTTTGTTGGGTTAAAGCTATTGTGTGGTAAGTCAGCATTTTGGGTTTTGCCCCGTCTTGTTTCACTTGAACAACTTGGATGTAATGGGGCCACTATGTGTACTTGGCATGGGGGTTTCTGTTTTTGCTATCTTTTTCAACGTCGCCATTTTGAAACAACTTCTCCCATCTGCCACTTTGCTCCCTACCCCCTTCCCATTTGCTGTGACGGTGCAGGAGAGGGTAGGGGCGAGCAGGAGATGCTTACAAAGATTTAACTTGTTCCTCTTACATTTTAAAATTTATTTTATTTTGAGTTGTTTACAGAAATAGGAAACTAGGAATGTATAGTATTTCAACTTAAAATGAAAAATTTTTAAACGTTTATTTTCTGATGAGAGTGCTCGAGCCGAACTTAACAGAAGCTTTTGTATTGGATACGATGAAAAAATTTGATTCACTTATGTGATGAGAAGTATTTGATTATATTCACATCATTTTTTAGAGTTTGGAATTCAAACTAGTGACATATGGATGTTGGTTACTCTTGTGAAGGCATTAATAACAGCGATCTAATGTAATATGTGATAGGAAGCAGACACCCCTGAAGTGTTAATGGAAGGTAGTTAGTGTTGTGCTGGGTTTATGACTGAGAGGATAAAGGTTGAGCGTCATTAATTGTTTTTGGTTTAGGGTAATCAAAGATTGACATTAGTTTGGGAAACTTTGAGATTGAAAGACTTTGAGCACTTTTATAGAATACTTGACTAGGGCCAGAAGCACAATATATTTTCTGTCCTAGAAAGGATAGAATAGTTCAGGGAGTAAGTTACCTTAGGAAGTTAGTTTGTGCAGCTTCTAGTCTAGAAGTGTCTGGTTAGACATCTGTATATTATTGAAAGCTAAGGGAATCTAAGCTGTGAGCTTCATGAAAATTTTGCTCCTCACAGGAAGGAACTGGGAAGGATCAGATGAATCGAATATAAAAATTAGTCACAAAGGGTTTTTTTTTCTGGATGGTGGAAGCATAGTGATGATATTGTGGTGTAGGTTGAAAACTGTTTTTCTGTTAGTTTTAAGATTTTTCAAATTGTGTTCTATATTTAGATAGATTGGTTTGCTTTATTACTTCCTCCTTTTGGTTTTCAAAAAATATCTGTTCCATTGTTAAACAGGAAACTTGCAGCCTTGTGTGCTTATAGCTTTGAATGACCATAACACTAAAACAAAAATACCTATAATCCACCAAACCAGGTTTCATTCTGGTATGTGACTTGTCCAGTAATGCCATCGACTGGGACTGTAACACTGAACACGTTTGACAGTGTTTCAGTTCAAGTTGTACTTATCAGGAACAAACTGCAATGTTAAGCAAGAAGTTACTGTACCAGGAAGTTCTCCCTTCTCCGTATTGTTCTGTTTTACATCACCTACTCTTTAGGAAGGCAGTTTTTAGAACTTTGTGTGTCTCCAAGTAAAGGTACGTAATGAAATTGCAAGTACTGAATGATTGTGAACTGCCAGCTGACAATGCTGAGCATGTTGCAAACTACAGAATGTTCTGGTCAAACAGCACTGCATTGTAGCAAGGGCAGATTGTCCTTGAATGGAGTGTCACTAGTTTGCTTAACAATCACCCTTAAGATTTGATATGTTACAGAATTTATTAATACAGGATATGTATTTGAACATGTAGAGCTTTTGCATAAATAATTCTGTAGTCTGATGGAACATATTAAATTCACTGGGGATTTTGAATGGAATTAATTGTGTGAAGCTTTTCCTATTAATGGGAGGTCCTGCGATAATCTTGAAACTGTTCCACGTGAGACGTAGTTCAGAAATAGCACTTTGTTCAAAGGGTAATAGTAATGTGAAAGGTAAATGCCATGGTGGTAATGTCACGAGCCTAGCAATCCAGAGGCCCAGGTTAATGTTGTTAGGACCTGGGTTTGAATCCCACCTTGGGCAGATGGTGAAAATTTAAATTCAATAAATTTCTGGAATAAAAAGCTCACCTAATGGTGACCACATAAACGTTACTGACTGTTGTGAAGAACTATCTGGTTTACTAACATCCTTCAAGGGGGGAAAAGCTGCCATCCTTACCTGTTCTGGCCTTACATGTGACTCCAGACCCACAGCAATGTGGTTCACTCTTAACTACTCTCTGGCTAATTAGGGATGGGTAGTGGATGGCACTGCTGCCTCAGTGCCAGGGACCTGGGTTCAATTCTACCCTCCAGGGACTGTGTGGAGTTTGCACATTCTCCCCGTGTTTGCATGGTTTCTACTGGAGGCTCTGGTTTTCTCCCACAGTCCAAAGATGCGCAAGTTAGATGATTTGGCCATGCTAAATTGCCCATAGTGTTCAGGGATGTGCAGTCTAGGTGGATTAGCCATGGGAGGTGGGCATGGGGGTGTTGGTCTGGGTGGGATGGTTGGGATGGTCTTTGGATGGTTGGTGCAGACATAATGGGCAGGACGGCCTCTACTTGTATTGTAGGGTTTGATGATGAACTTTGGTCAAACCAGCAAACAGCCTCATTACGCAAACAAATTTATAGGTAGTAATGGATGTTAATTCAATAACTTTGCACTTTAATGATGGGCAGATTTTTGCTGGCCAAGGGACAAAGGAATATGGAGTTGAGGCAGGCAGGTGGATATAGAATCATAGAATTCCTACGGTGTAGAAGCAGGCCATTCCAAAGAGTGACCCACACAGACCTGTCCCTGTAACCCTGCATTTCCCAGTCCACCTAGCCTGCACATCCCTGGACACTATGGGCAATTTTGCATGGCTAATCTACGGAATCTGCCCCTCTTTGGACCATGGGAGGAAACCGGAGTACCCAGAAACCCACGCAGACACAGGGAGAACTTACAAACTTCACACACTAGCAGTAGCGCGAGGGTGGAATCAAACCTAGCCCCTGGTGCTGTGAGGCAGTAGTGCTAACCACTGTGCCGCCCAATAGGACATGGGACAGCCTGTATCTGGGGGAGATGATCGCACAGTGGTACTGTAACTGGACTGGTAATCCTGAGGGCAGGCTGATACACTGAGGACATGGATTCAAATCTAGGCAGCTGGTGGAAATTAACTCGGTTAGTAAATCTGGAATTGAAAGCTAGTTTCCATAATGGTGACCATGAAACCTATTATTAATTGTCATTTGAAAGCCCATCTGTTTCACTAAATCCTTTTCAGGGAAGGAAATCCGCCATCCTTATCTGGTCTGGCCTGCATGCGACTCCAGACCCAGACCAATGTGGTTGATTCTTGGTGGCCCTTTACACTCGGTTGAAGGGACAGTTGGAGATGGGCGGTAAAGATGACAGCCCACATCCTCAACAGGGCATAACAAGAACATGACTTCGCTGAATGGCAGCAGGTTGAAGGGATTGAAATCATGTTCCTAACTCAACTCTGGGGGGGCAAGAAAAAACTGTGGCTAAATATACTACCCAAATAAACGTTTTGGCCCTAGAAGGGTTAGGCCAGCTTAAACTCTATCTTTGCAGAATACTGTGCTTAAACAGATGGTATGTCTTTCAAAAAACAGGAAATTTGCTATTGTTAAAAATGTACAAACTTAAAAAATGAATTCAAAAACCTGTAAATTCATTCAGCACTTTGAAAAAAAGAGTAGTAAATTGTCAATATGACTTTATATTAGCCAATGATGGGAATTCCATAAAGATACAATCTTCAGCTCATCTTAAAATTGTACATTGTGTTTCCAGCTATCCCAATGATCTACTGTAGACTGTTTTTAATTTAAAAGTTGCACTCTGCTGATTCTTAGCTTCTGTTGGGAAGCGATTTCCAATAGTGGGGACTCTTGGACTGGGACATATTTTATAAAATAATGGGGCACCCGTTTAAAACGGAGAAGTGAAGAAATTCTCTTTGCCCAGAGGGTACTGGATGTCCAGAATTCTCTACCCCAGAGAGTTGTGATGGTTGTTAGCTATTTTCCAGTCTTCCGGAACTCTTGCTGACTCCAGTGATTCCTGAAAGATCACCACCAATGCCTCTGCAATCTCCTCTGCCATCTCTTTCAGACCCTGGGGTGCAGTCCATCCGGTCCATTCAGTCCAGGTGATTCATCCACCTTCAGACCTTTCGGCATCTCCCAACACCTTCTCCTTAGTGATGGCCACTGCACTCAGCTCTGACCCCTGACTCTTGACGTTCTGGTGTGCTGCTGGTGTGACTGACGCAATGTACCTATTTAGTTCCTGTGCCATTTCTTTGTTCCCCATTGCTACTTCTCCATTCTCATTTTCCAGTAGTCCAATGACCATTCTTGGTGACTCCACCGTCTTCTCTGTTAGGCTCCCCTTCCTATCAACTCTGGCCGCCTCCTCCCTCATATCTTTGCAGTCAATTGTAGCACCATTACACCTGATTCGATCTTCTCCCTCTCAAAATGCAGTGTGAATTCTATCATATTGTAGTCACTGCCCCCGAAGGATTCCTTCACTTTAAGCTCCTTACTCATGTCTGCCTCATTGCACATCACCAAACTCTGAATTGCCTGTTCCCTAGTGGGCTCTTCAATCTGCTCCAAAAAAAATCTTGTTGATATTCCATGTACTCCTATCCCTGGGATCTGCTGTCAACCTGATTTTTCCAAGTCCATCTGCATATTGAAGTGCTCTGATTATTGCAGCAGTGCCTTTCTTGCATGCCTTTTCTATCGCCTAATTTTTGATTTCTTTCCCACATCCTGACGACTGTTAGGAAGCCTTTATATAGCTCCTGTCAGGGTCTTTGTTTTTTCTTTGCAGTTCCTCAAATCTACCCGCACAGAGTCTGTGCCTTCCAAGTATATATGGTTTCTTGCTATCAGTTTAATTTCATTTCTTACTCATAACCTCATCTGCCTGTCCTTTTACTAGGATGCCTATCCTTGGATATTTAGTTTGCAGCCTTGATCCCCTTGCTTCCATATCTCTAATGCCCACAAAATCATACCCACCAATTTCCCTCTACACTACAAGCTTATTTATCTGCTTCTTATCCTGCACACATTTTAAATACAACACCCTCAGCCGCGTGTTGACTGTCCCCCTTCTCATAGTTGTCCCCTTATATGCTATGCCTGAAGTTAGATTCCTGACACCTTCCAGAGTCCAATTACTTGTTCCGGAAACTTTAATAACGTCTGAGTACTCATCACTTGACCTTTTCCACAATTTTCCATGCCACTGAACCCCTACTTAGTTTAAAGCCCTATCCACAGCCCTAGTTATGTGATTCAACAGGACTCTGGTCCCAGCATGATTCAGGTGGAGCCTGTCCCATTGGAACAGCTCTCTCCTTCTCTAGTACTGATGCCGGTGTCCCATGAATTTCAACCTGTTTCCTCCACACCAAACTTTAAGCAATGTATTTACCTCTTTAATCTTGTTGACCCTGTGCCAGTTAGTTTGTGGCTCAGGTAGTAATCTGGAAATTATTACTTTTTTTTTGGTTTTGCCTTTCAATTTAGCCCCTAGCTGCTCGTATTCCCTCAGCAGAACCTCTTTCCTCTTTCTCCCTATATCTTTGGTACCTACATGGACCACAACAACTGGATCTTCCCCCTCCCACTCCATGTTCCACTGCAGTCTGGATGGGAGATCCTGAACCTGGGCACCAGAACTTTTTTGGGACTCTTGATCCTGACCACGGAGAACGGTGTCTTTCCCTAACTATACTATCACCGATTACAACTACATTTCTCTTCTCCCACCCACCTTCCACCAACCACCCCCCACTGCCACACCCACCCACCCACCTCTGTTCTTGAATGGCTCTCTGTCCCACAGTGCTATGGTCAGATTGCTCATCCTCCCTACAGCTCCTGCTCTCGTCCGCACAGGGAGCACGAATCTTAAACCTGTCAGACAAGCATAAGGGCTGTGGCCCCTCTGCACTACCTCCTGGATCTCACTACCTGCCTCACTTGTAGTCACACCCTCCTGTCCCTGACTGCCTCCTGAAACAGTGTCCAGCTAATTCTTTCCCCCCCCCCCGGCTCCCTGAAGCTCAGACTCCAGCTCATCAACTCTGAGCTGGAGTTCTTTGAGCAACTAACACTTTGGTATAGATGTGGTCAGTATAGCCCACCAGCTCCCACATCACATAGCTATAATACATCACCTGGTGAGGCATCTATTTTGTTTACTTAATAATTAATTTTTTTTAAAGTTGCCTGCTGGTCTTTTAGTTGCAACCTGCAAATATTTCTCCTATTTACCTTCAATCTCTAAGCTTAAAAAGTCAAGTTAGCAACTAATATCAATTGATGAAATTATAGTTTTCCTGTGATATCACTGTGTTTTGTGTTGGGCCCCTGATCCTGGGATTCAGTTTATCCTGATGAGCTGTAATGTGGAAAACCTCAGAAACCAAGTCCTTTGTCCGTGTGACTGAACGCCACTCACTCCGCCAAATCAACGCGCAATCACCACTGGCAACAGTGCTTGAAAAACTCTAGAGCATTAAAGTGGCTGTGTTCTGATTGCAGCACAGCCTCAAAGCTGCTCACTATACAATCGAGCCCCTCACCACCCTGACTTGGAAATATATCGCCGTTCCTTCACTGTCTCTGGGTCAAAATCCTGGAATTCCCTCCCTAAGGGCAGTGCGGGTCCGCCTACAGCATACAGACTGTAACAGTGCAAGAAAGCAGCTCACCATCACCTCAACGGCAACCAGGGACAGGCAATAAATGCTGGCCCAGCCAATGCTGCCCAGTCCTACTGCAGAAGAAAAAAGTAATTTGCCAAATAACTATTCTCTGCCATTTCTCTTTCAGCACCGTGGAAGTGGATGATTTCACAGCAGGCCTCTTCGGGATCTATAAAGAAGTGCTGAAAGAAGGTATTGCCCAGGTAGTGATCTTGTCTTATTGTAATGTAGCTGGGCTGCATAGGGAAAGTGAATCTTTCTTATTAAAAAAAAAAAAAAATTATTCTAGTTTTGTTGGATTTGATTTGAGCATCTGCATATCGTCTATTGTGTGAACGTAAAGTCCTCTTGAACTAGTCCTCAGTAATATCGTTTATAGGATCTGGCCTTTATCTTTGGGTCGTTGTGGGGCGGAATGTAAGCTGTGTCACCCCACTATAATGGCACCTTTTCAGCAATAAGCTGGGCAAAATGTGAACTTATGGAACAGGAGCATAGTCCCTTTAAATTTGATATTCTGGGAATGCCTTCAGCTTCTGTTACTGGGTTTATCATCTCTCCTTTTCCCAAACACCATCATGAACTGAGAATTCTGACCATTCCAATCCCTGACCATCCTTCCTTGAAATTGTCGTTGTGAGCGGTTTTGGGCCCCATATGTAAGGAATGAAGTACATATATCTGAGATCTCTCTATGTATTTGTTTCTTAATTTTCCTCTTGCTATTAGTGGGATTATAGTACAATCCCATTAAAGTGATCTTTCCATTCTTATTTGTAACTTCTACCCATATATTTTCACTGGATGATTTTTCACAACTATCAGCAGTAATGTATTTCTTAATGAAAAATGCCCCCCCCCCCCCCCCCCCCCCCACACACACACACACACACACACACACACACACACACACACACACACACACACACACACACACACACCTCCTTTTCTATCCTTCCTATAGCATCTAAAACACAGAACTTCGAGCTGCCAGTCTTGTCCATCTCTCAGCCAAGTTTCTGTAACAGATATGATGTCCTACATACTCTGACTCTCTCTCTCGTCTTTCTTTCTAATTGACATTCTCTCCTCACATTCAGAACCTTCCCCATTAATCCTTCTGTTTACATTGCTACTTCGAATTCTTCCACTCCCCCTCTCTATCAGTATAAAGTCTTCCTTAATGGAATGAGCAAATATCCCTGCTAAGGTATTGATTCTCTTCCAGTTCAGGTTGGACCCATCCTTTTTGAACAGGTCTTTTCTATCCCAAAAGACATCCCAAATCCCAGAACAATACACCAGCTCTTCAGCCATTGATTTATCTCCTTTATCTTTTTGTTCCTTCCCTCATTTGAGTTTGGCATTAGGAGTAAGCCAGCAATGACTACTTTCAAGGTTCTATTTTTTAATCTTCTACCTAACCTGTTAAATTCACTGTGCACTGCTTTGATCTGTTCCCTAAAAATGTCATTTCTACCAATGGGTACAATAATTTCTGGCTTCTCAATCTCACCTTTAACAATATGCCTGAAACGTTTAGAGACATCCTTAATCCTAGCACCAGGAAAGCAACAAACTATCCTAAATTTACACTCACTGCCACAATCCCCTGTCTATGCCCTGACAGGAGAGACCTCATAACAATAATTCTATTAAATCTTGTCAAATGCTGCCTAACAAAAGAATCATTCCAAATGTCTAGTAATCGACTGGGCCTTCCATTTTTCTCAGAGTCTATTCTCTGTACAGTTCTAAAACCTGAATATCTATCTGATAGAGGAATAGCCACCAGAGACTTTTGAACTGCCTTCTTACCTTTCCTGGCAGTCACCCATCTATCTGACTGATCCTGCTGTTTAATAACTTTTCCAAATCCACTAGCCATCTCACACTGTGCCTCATATATGCCCTTAATAACATAAAGCTGAAAAAAATTCAATAACACCTTATAAAATAAACTACCTTTCATTACCTTCAGAAAATAATGTTAAAATGGAAAAAAAATTGAAAATATATATATTTTTTATATATATATAAACATATAAAACGTAAATAAAATCTTACGATTGCTGAACCATAACCTGAGTAGCGTGGGATGGTGTCATACTTGACATGCAGAATAGGAAGGAGCAGGTAGGGCTGTTCTGCTGCTATTTGGTTTGATTAGGTTTAATTTTTGTCAACTCCATCTACTTTGCCATGCTTCTCTCCCCTTAACCTGACTGTATCAATGAGTTTTACATTTGAGATAGTCTCTTCAATTGCAACCCCCAATAAACTCAGCAGCTATAGGAGGGAATGAGCTCCAGATCATCACCACCACAGTGATGTGTGAAAATGTGCTTCCTGAAATCACCTCAAACCAACCCAGCTCCAATGTTAAGATTATGACCCCCTTTCTAGTCTTACCAAGTAGCAGAAATGATTTCTTCCTTTATGTACCCCATCGTCTTAAATGCATGGTTATGTCACTCCTTCACTGTCTTCTATGTTCTTCAAAATACAACCATATTCTATATAATCTTGCCACATAAATTAACCCTTTTTAGTCTGTGTATTGTTTGGTGAAACTGTAATATGCTCACTCCAATGTTAAGGAGTGCTTAAGGTGAGGTAGTGTCCAAAACTCTGCCCACTATAAAAGGGATCTGTATAATAAGTCAGAGATTTAGTTAACTGTATCATAGGTTTGCCTCCCTTATGTCCCTATTGGGACAAAGGCAGAGCTCCAGCTACTATTTTTTTTTGTAGCTATCCACTAACGTTAAGTCATTTTGTACATGGATTCCCAAATTCTCTCTGCTCCCTTGCAGTACCTGGCTTTTCATCATTTAGACAATACCCTGATCTGTCTGTGGGAGTACAGGTGCCCTGCATTCTTTCAAGGTCTCACCCATGTGGGCCATTTAACATGCCAGCACGGGGTAACACATCCTAGCCTGATACTGCCACCTTCTCAATTGTGCTTTTCCTCTCAAGTATTGAAGGAGGTACAGGTAGGATGTTGTTAAACGTGAGATTTACAAGGATGTTGCTGGGACTGGAGGGTTTGAGCTATCGAGATGGGCTGAGTAGGCTAGGGCTTTTTTCAGTGGAGCATCGAAGGCTGAGGGGTGACCTTACAGAGGTTTATTCAGTCATGAGGGGCATGGATAGGGTGAATGGCCAAGGTCTATTCCCCAGGGTGGAGGAGTCCAAAACTAGAGGACATAGGTTTAAAAGGGACCTGAGAGGTCACTTTTTTTTCATGCAGAGTGGTGTGTGTATGGAACAAGCTGCCAGAGGAGGTGTTGGGGGCTGGTACAATTTAAATAAAAATGTTTAAAAGGCACCAGGTTGGGTAGATGAATAGAAGGGGTTTAGCGGGATATGGGCGAAATGTTAGCACATAGTACTCTGTCAGGTTGGACCGAAGAGTCTGTTTCTGTGCTATGTGACTCTTGAGTGCAACACAGCAGGTCTTTGTCATCATTTAGCCGAGTGGGTGTGGGAAGGGGAATTTGGACCACCTGTAGTATCTTAATTACTATCACCCCTTGGTTCAGAGCAGGGTAGGAACTGAACTTTGGACACTCCCTAGTTTATAATGCTCAGCTAAGTGATGTGTCATTATGCACTCGGTCACAAGGGAACCTTTATCTCCGCCTTCCTGTTCCATCCCACCCTGACTTGTTACACTCAAACTCTTTCACCCTTAGTTGCCACACTGATGTTCAACTCCATTTCAAAACTAGTAAATGGGTATGTAAACTGCAGAACTTGCAAATACCTTTCATCCTTAGTCCAGTTTAGTATACGTTATCATAAACTTCCATGAATGTAAATAACTGTTTACAATCTACATTGTGTGGATTATGGGGTTTGGTTGGCCATTGGCACGATTTTGGTCTTTGCAATGCGGGAGTAGTGTGCAGTGGAATTTTTAAAATTCTTTATTGAGATGAGTGTTGTTGCTCAATGTTCCCTCTAATTTTCCTTCCAACTGAGCAGATCTCTAAGGTCAATGTCCAGTGTGGTGATTGACCTGCTCAGGGATTGCCCAATGGCTGGGCAGCTTAGAAGGAACATTTTTTTTTTTTGCCTCCTTAATTGCCCTCGTGAAAGTGAGGAAAGTTTTTTTTGTTTTATTCGTTCATGTGGTGAAGGCTTCACCAGTGTTTATTGCCAATCCCTAGTTGTCCCCTTGAGAAAGTGGTGGTATACTGTCGTCTTGAACTGGTGTAGACCATGTGATAGGGAGGGAATTCCAGGATTTTGACCCAATGACACTGAAGGATCAGTGATATTCCCATGGATCTACTTGTTCTCTGTGATAGTGGACGTGGGTTTGCAAGATGCTGTGTAAGGAGTTTTTGTGAATTTTTGCAGTGCATTTCACAGATGATATGCATCAGTGATAGAGGGAATGAATGTTTGAAAAATGCGTTCCAGTTTTTCAGACTGGAGGCCTGTGACCAACGGGGTTTCACAGGGATCAGTGGTGGGTCTGCCGTTGTTTGTCATTTATATAAATGATTTGGATGAGAATATACAAATTGGTGGCACGGTAGACAGTGAAGAAGGTTATGTAAGATTACAAAGGGATTTTGATCAAATGGGTCAATGGACTGAGGACTGGCAGATGGAGTTTAATTTGGAAAAATACGAGGTATTGCAGAGAAATCCAGAACAAGATGATATAGCATCAAAATGAGAGCCAGGCTATTTATGTCTAAAATCAAGATGCACTTTTTCATAGAGCCATGGAAATATAAAGTTCCCAGAGTGCTGTGGATGCTGGGTTAGTTGAAATTTTTGAAACTGAGATCGAAACTAACAAAAACTGAAATTGCTGGAGGACCTCAGCAGGTCTTGCAGCAACTAACTCAAAAACAGAGTTAATGATTCAGGTTCAGTGACCCTTCTTCGGATAAATAGAATTCAGGTGTGAGATCAGCCATAATTCAAGTGAGTGATGGAACAGACTTGAGGGAATCAAATGAATAAATAAATGCTGTTCCGTTTCCCCCCCTTTGTCTGTCATAATGGAGAGCTCCTGCTGATGGTTTGGAGCCTCTCTATAATATTTTGCCACAGTTTTCTATTTTGAAACTGAGTCTTTTTATAAAAAAAAAACTTGTGTCTCTAAAATATTTGAACATAAGAGGCATTGTATTGTGTCCTCCCATAATATGCTTTTTTTTTTAAAAGCAGGGGGCTGAGATCCAAATAAATCTCTCCCTTGCAGTTCAGACAGATGTTTCACAAATTGAACTTTTGAGATGTTTTGCTATGCTGAAGGCGTTATATAAATGGAGGGTGTTGTCGAAACACTTTTGATTTTGATTAAAATCAATATGAAATTGGGCAACTTTAAGCATCAGGAAGGGTGTGCAATATTTGTCCTGGGTGCCTGTAGATGAGGGGAAAGTAAAATAACCAGTCTGGTTGACTTCTTAGGAAAGTGAGGTGGGGGGCAAAGATTAGGGGTACGTGGGAGAACAAAATGGAACTGCATTAAATTCTTAACGAGGTGTGCGTGTCTTAAAATTTCTACTATGTAATTAGTGGTCTTATTAGAAAGGAAGCATTTTATGTTGAAGTGCCCCACCCTTTGCTTGTTCTTTATATCAACTAAGATGTGTTTTTCTTTTCCTTTTCCTTTCCTTGTTCAGCCAATTACTTTAGGTATAAACAGATCTGACTACATGTTTGACAGAGGACTTGATCACAATGTTTCCTTAAAACAAATAGAAATTAATACCATTGCTGCTAGTTACGCAGGACTGGCTGAGCGGGTCCCAGATGTGCATAGGTAAGAGCTGAACAAGAAGTTTTGACAGATGAATTGAAATTGATCTTTTCTTTGTATGAGGGTGAGGTGAGAGTGCTTGAACGGATTGGCATTGAGGAGCCTGAGTCAAGCCAGAATCCATGGGAATCGGGGGGTGGTGGGGGCAGACTCTCCAATGGTTGGACTCGTACCTGACACGTAGGAACATGGTCGTGGTTGGAGGTCGGGCATCTCTGCAGGAGTTCCTCGGGGTAGTGCCCTAGGCCCAATCATCTTCAGCTACAATGATCTTCTGTCCACCATAAGGTCAGAAGTGGGCATGTTCATTATGCAGTCTTCTATGTTCAGCACCGTTTGTGATTCCTCAGATACTGAAGCAGTCCATGTGCAAATGCAGCAAGACCTGGACAATGTCCAGTTTTGGTCTGGTAAGTGGCAAGTAACATTTGTGCTGCACAAATGCCAGGCACCAACCATCTCCACTAACAGACAATCTAATCACCACCCTCAACACTCAATGATGTTACCGTCACTGAATCCTCCACTATCAACGTCCAAAGGGTTACCATTAACCAGAAACTGAACTGGACTTGGCCTTTATATATATATACTGTGGTTAGAAGAGTAGGTTAGAGGTTAGGAATCCTACAGTGAGTAACTCACCACCTGACTCCTCCAAAGCCAGACCACCATCTACAAGGCACAAGTCAGGAACCTGATGGAATACCCTCTCTATTTGCCCTAGATGAGTGCAGCTCCGACAAGACTGAAGAAGCTGGATATCATCCAGATCAAAGTCATTTCTCACTCTCTCTCTCTCTGTCTGTCTCTGTGTGTGTGTGTGTCTCTCTCTCTCTCTCTCTTTCTCGCTCTCCTGTCTGTGTCTCTCTGTCTGTGTCTCTCTGTCTGTGTCTCACACTCACACTCTCTTTTGCATAGAATCCCTACAGGTGTGGAAGCAAGCCATTTGGCCCATTGAGTCCACATTGATCATCCAAAGAGCATCCACCTTGACCCACCCCCATCCTATCACTGTAACCCTGCATTTCACTTGGCCTGCACATCCCTGGACACTATGGGCAATTTAGCATAGCCAATCCACCTAGCCTGCACATCTTTGGACTGTGGAGGAAACCGGAGCACCCAGAGGAAACCCACGCAGACACGGGGAGAATGTGCAAACTCCACACAGACAGTCACCCAAGGGTGGAATCAAACTCTGGTCCCCGGCGCTGTGAGGCAGCAGTGCTAACCACTGAGTGATAATGTTATTGTAATTCCCTTGCTTTTGTATTCCTGACTTCTCTAATGCCAGGTAGTCTGTATGTTTGCCTAAACAACCCCATTGACTTGCCCTTCAAAGGTTTGTGTACGTGAATTTCCAGATCTTGTGTGTCCCTTAAAGTTGTTTTAAGCAACTTGATGAAAAAGTGGGCATTAATGTTGCTTTTTTCTTTCTGCTTCACGCAGGCATGTTCTGAACTTCTGGGGAAAATCTGATGAAGCTGCTAAGATCTTGAGTAATCCTGCCGTAAAAGGCATTGCTGAAGGAATCGCAAAAGCGTGGCAATTATATGGATCACCAGAGTAAGTAAAATTTAAACTTGAAGACTGACTGGAAAGTAACTAGGTTTGCACTATCAGTGATGAAGGAAGAAATTCGAGCTTTTAGAAACAGTGAATGTTGATCAGTTGGGTACTTGCATCTACCTGTACCTACATATTATGTATATTAGTTTTAATTTTCACTTCTTTACTGATAGAACCACACTCGAGCATTTGTTAGCCTTTGGTATCTTGCTTGGAAGGCCTTTCGTTTATGGGAACTTTGACAGTTAAACCTGATTTTACCTAATCTCTGGCAATACCTGGTAACACACAGCTCAATCAATAACACACTCACCACCGATTCAACAGGTAGTCCCACTTCAGACTGACAATGCAGCACTCCCTCAGTACAGCGCTGTAGTGTTGGAGGTGCTGTCTTTCAGATGACATGCTAACTGTTACGGAGGAGGAATAGCCAAACCCCTCTGATAGTCAAACCAAAACACAAGCCCCAAGCTGCAATGACAAGAGTAGGGGATCCACTCTAATAATTACCCCCTAAACACCCAGAGAAGTGCTTTCCCCTCGTAATCTATTAAGAGTGGTTAAAAGAAAGAAAATTCCTGATCTCTACAAGTAACAAAAAACAATTTATTTGTTTAACCCGACAATGAACAAATTAGCAGAATTACGAACAAACTGACAATTCCTCCCTAGACTACTAACTACTTCCTAACTGGTCTAAATTCTACTACAGTACTGTTCAAATAAACACAAGTCTCACTTAATGAACCTAATTAATAAGAGAACAGTGAATTATAACTTAATCTCCCCAAGTTCGCACAGACTGTCTTCTGGAATATTGTCTTCTCCGCTCTCTTCACAAATGCCTTTCTTCCACTAATTCTTCTGTTGGAGATGTTTCATCTCTATAATATTTTCAATGGGTACCTTGAGCTAAAATACCGTGGAACCTTTGATTAATTAGGTGGGCTTTCTCTGAGAGCTGAATGTTGCTAACTCTGGCAGGTGGGGGATGGCTCTCCCCGATTTACCAAATGCCCTTGTCTTATATACTCGTAATGACGTAATAAAATGATTGGCACCATCCGATTTAAATTCAATTGGCTTTCTGCATCTAGGAGCTTCTTTTAAATTAACTGGCCAAATTCAAACGTGTTATCTTGGAAAAAATACTGCTTGGCTGTTCTAAACAAAATGTTTCCTTTCGGGGCCCTCCTTGTGCACCTGCGTTTATGAACTTCCAAGCACAGACAAAGCACAAGCTCTTAAAGGGACCACAGTACTCTTTGTTTTTTTCCCCACGATCATTTTTACCAACAAATTCTAACTTCCTGCCTTCCAATTCACGAATACTATACCCAACTTTGTAACACTAACCCAAAACTGTTTGTGTGCTCTTAAGCAAATGTAAAAGATCCCATGGGACTCTGCCCGAGAGAAGGGAATTCCAGCAAACAGCATTATTAAATCAGATTATTGGGCTGTTACAATCTTGCTGTTTATGGGAGTTTACTGTGTACAAATTGGCTGCTGTCTCTGATGTGACAGCAGTAGATGTTCGCAAACATTTTGTTAGGACATATAAAGTGCACTTGATAACTTTATGTTAAGAACACTTTATAAATGCAAGTTGTTGTGGCCACACTTCATTGACCATAAAGCACCTTTGGGAAGGAGTAATATAAATAGTTCTTACAGCAGAGAAAGAAGCCATTCAGCCCATCCAATCCAAGCATGCAAGATATTTTTCCCATTCCTTTACACATCTAACAACAGTTTGCAATCTGGAGTGGGACTTTGAATTCATTTAGAGAGCCACAGAGTTATACCACATGTAAACGACCCCTTGTCCAAGCCGACTGTATTCCCGAACCAAACTAGTCCCACCTGCTTGCGTTTGGCCCATATCCCTCCAAACATTTCTTTATTTGTGTATTTATTCAAATATGTTTTACATGTTGTAACCATTTGCATCCACCACCTCCTCTGGTAATTCACAAACCACTCTGCTTTTTACAAAAAAAAGTTGCTCCTCATGTCCTTTTTTTTTTTGAATTTTTCTCTTCTCACTTTAAATATGTTCCCTAGTTTTGAACTCCCACCACCCTAGGGAAAAGACCCTTGCTATTCACCTTCTCTACACCCATCATGAATTTATAAAACTCTATTTGTTCTACATGAAAAACTGTGATCAAAGGAGCAGACTGAGAAGGAGAGCTCCAGAATTTGTCTTTTCCCATATTTGCCTCATGTTAAGCTGGCCTGTTAGAGTACGTGTCATTATCTATCTTTCTACCATCTAAGCTTTCACTTTGTCAATAATCTTTGCATGTTTGAGTTTTTCTAAGTTTTGTAATAAATTCTTGCAGAAGAAAGAAACCTGGCCGGATTATTATCAGTACTGAACTAGGCACAGTCTGAAACCAACAGAATTGGCTGTATAGTAAATTTCGTTATAACTGGTACTCTTGATAAACCAGCAAAAATTATATATCTCAAGTACCACAATTTACTGCTTTATTCTGTCCAATTATTATAATTTTAATTCATTTACTTCAGTGGAAGTATAATTGTTCAATCGAATGGCCACACAAAATATTAGCATAGAACATTACAGCGCAGTACAGGCCCTTCGGCCCTCGATGTTGCGCCGACCTGTGAAACCAATCTGAAGCCCATCTAACCTAAAGAATTCCATTATCATCCATATGTTTATCCCATGACCATTTAAATGCCCTTAAAGTGGGCGAGTCTACTACAGTTGCAGGCAGGGCATTCCACACCCTTACTACTCTCTGAGTAAAGAACTTACTTCTGACATCTGTCCTATATCTATCACCCCTCAATTTAAAGCTATGTCCCCTCGTGCTAGCCATCACCATCCGAGGAAAAAGGCTCCCACTGTCCACCCTATCTAATCCTCTGATCATCTTGTATGTCTCTATTAAGTCACCTCTTATCCTTCTTTTCTCTAACGAAAACAGCCTCAAGTCCCTCAGCCTTTCCTCATAAGACTTTCCCTCCATGCCAGGCAACATCCTGGTAAATCTCCTCTGCACCCTTTCCAATGCTTCCACATCCTTCCTATAATGCGGTGACCAGAACTGTACGCAATACTCCCAAGTGCAGCCGCACCAGAGTTTTGTACAGCTGCAACATGACCTCATGGCTCCGAAACTCAATCCCTCTACCAATAAAACCTAACACACCGTACGCCTTCTTAACAACCCTATCAACCTGGGTGGCAACTTTCAGTGATCTATGCACATGGACACCGAGATCTCTCTGCTCATCCACACTGCCAAGAATCTTACCATTAGCCCAGTACTCTGTATTCCTGTTACTCCTTCCAAAGTGAATCACCTCACACTTTTCCGCATTTAACTCCATTTGCCACCTCTCAGCCCAGCTCTGCAGCTTATCTATGTCCCTCTGTAACCTGCAACATCCTTCCGCACTATCCACAACTCCACCGACTTTGGTGTCATCCGCAAATTTACTAACCCATCCTTCTACACCCTCATCCAGGTCATTTATAAAAATGACAAACAGCAGTGGCCCCAAAACAGATCCTTGTGGTACACCACTAGTAACTGAACTCCAGGATGAACATTTCCCATCAACCACCACCCTCTGTCTTCTTACAGCTAGCCAATTTCTGATCCAAACCACTAAATCACCCTCAATCCCATACTTCCGTATTTTCTGCAATAGCTTACCGTGGGGAATCTTATCAACCGCTTTACCCTCATCCACCTGTTTGGTCACCTTCTCAAAGAACTTAGTAAGGTTTGTGAGGCACGACCTACCTTTCACAAAACAGTGTTGACTATCCCGAATCAAACTATTCCTTTCTGGATGATTATAAATCCTATCTCTTATAATCCTTTCCAACACTTTACCCACAACCGAAGTAAGGCTCACTGGTCTATAATTACCAGGGTTGTCTCTACTCCCCTTCTTGAACAAGGGGACAACATTTGCTAGTCTCCAGTCTTCTGGCACTATTTCTGTAGACAATGATGACATAAAGATCAAAGCCAAAGGCTCTGCAATCTCCTTTCTAGCTTCCCAGAGGATCCTAGGATAAATCCCATCCGGCCCAGGGGACTTATCTATTTTCACACTTTCCAGAATTGCTAACACCACCTCCTTATGAACCTCAATCCCGTCTCTTCTAATAGCCTGTGTCTCAGTGTTCTCCTCGACAACATTGTCTTTTTCCTGTGTGAATACTGACGAAAAATATTCATTTAGCGCCTCTCCTATCTTTTCGGACTCCACGCACAACTTCCCACTACTGTCTTTGACTGGCCCTGATCTTACTGTAGTCATTCTTTTATTCCTGACATACCTATAGAAAGCTTTAGGGTTTTCCTTGATCCTACCTGCTAAAGACTTCTCATGTCCCCTCCTGGCTCTTCTTAGCTCTCTCTTTAGGTCCTTCCTGGCTAACTTGTAACTCTCAAGAGCCCTAACTGAGCCTTCACGCCTCATCTCCACATAAGCCTCCTTCTTCCTCTTGACAAGAGATTCAACTTCTTTAGTAAACCACGGTTCCCTCGCTCGACCACTTCCTCCCTGCCTGACAGGTACATACTTTTCAAGGACACGCAGTAGCTGTTCCTTGAACAAGCTCCACATTTCAATTGTGCCCAGCCCCTGCAGTTTCCTTCTCCATCCTATGCATCCTAAATCTTGCCTAATCGCCTCATAATTGCCTTTCCCCCAGCTATAACTCTTGCCGTGAGGTATATACCTATCCCTTTCCATCGCTAAAGTAAATGTAACCGAATTGTGGTCACTATCGCCAAAATGCTCACCTACCTCCAAATCTAACACCTGGCCTGGTTCATTACCCAGTACCAAATCCAATGTGGCCTCGCCTCTTGTTGGCCTATCTACATACTGTGTCAGGAAACCCTCCTGCACACACTGGACAAAAACTGACCCATCTAAAGTACTCAAACTATAGAGTTTCCAGTCAATGTTTCGAAAGTTAAAGTCTCCCATAA